AATGAAAAATTATTTAGATTTATATATAATTAATATATTAATTAGATATTGTTAGAAATTTATACATTTTTTTTTACCATTTTTGTTTTGTAAGTATGACTAAAAGAAGTAGGTAATAATAAGAAGCAATATTTATGCAAGCCGGCTGTGCAAGGTGATATACAAAGGTGAATAAAATATTTTTTTTTCATGAAAATCAGTGATATATATATATATATATATATATACACATACATAAAAAGTCTCGACATTCCATACGTTTTCTTTGGATCTGACGTGAAAAAAAGCTTCACGAGATCCAATGACCACAACCCCCAAAATCCAATTCTACACGCACACACGTGTAGATAACTGTTGTCTAACATATTTTGATGTTTTTAAATTAATTTGTAGCGTTTTTCTTTCTTAATTTGGTAAATGCATTTGATGTGAACAGCTATTAAAGCGAATCTCTTCTTGATTAATGTTTTGTGAATTATATTTTCGTATATAATTTTATTTATTTATTTGAGAAATTCGGGTGAAAAAAATGTCAAGATCGAACGTCACTTTTCACTAGGAAGAAGACTAAATGGTTGTATAGTGACATATTCGAATGGTCCATGCATACGAATACGTCCCTATATCCATTGTTTCAAAGATGGCATGATGAACAAATTAGATATATATGTGCAAGAGCCATGATTTCAAAAAGTTTTTTTTTTATTTGCCGATAAGAATCCAATCTTAATTATGATGAACAACCGTATTTTTATCTTTGAAAAAAAATCTCATGGTGATTATAATTCTGTAATCTTAAAATATTAATGCTAAAATGTGCTGTTGGACATTTTGGGTTTTGTCTTATATTTTTATTTTTGAATTTGCTTTTTTTTTTTAGATTTTGTAAAAAATTTAATCAATAAATTTTTTATTTTGATTTCTGATTGGGTTCATAATTTTTTTCGGGTTAGGTTTTTTTAAAGACAATAGTGTTCTTCTAAAAATATTTTCATTTCACTTAGTTTTTTAGATTATTTTCATGTTTGATTTGAGATTTAATCGAATCTGATTAAATTCTTTTTTAAAAAAAATTCTACACAATTGATTTTAAATCGGTGATTCAATTATAATTATATTTTATTCGATTCATTTCAATTCGATTTTAAACATCCAAACGAATTATAGATATACAAAGTAAGATATGTACCTAATAAAATATCAAGGAAAAAAACAAAAGCTAAGGTCCTTAGATCTTATTTAGAATTTAGAGAACATTTATCAATTTGTACATTCCATAGCATGTAAACCAATGTTTTAGATGGTTAGTCCTCGAACGTAGAAACTTAATATATATATATACATGTATATATATATATATATGATCTATTTCATTCGATTGGGTTCATTCATATGTTGACTAATTAATGCTTGTGAAAATTTAAAAATGAGTTAATAATAAGAACATTAAATATAAATTTGTTTACATAATCTATTATATGTACGCGCCGCTATCTCCATAAACCTTCGGATGAACATTAATTTCTCCCCTTTCTCTTATCTCTTATCACTTGATCTTATATATATATATATATACAATTAATAATCTTTTTAATACTTTTTATTATAGAATCCGCAATATAATGCTTGCATTTCCTAGGCTTAAAGCGCAATATAATGCTTGCAATATAAAAGATACGGACGTTACAAACTTATGATGTATGGTCGAGAACTCGAGGATCATTGAACTATCTCGCTGTAAGTACAATGAGAACGTACACATTGAAATCAAGAATTGGAATTCTATCTTCCACAAAATCGTGTCAAAATGAATGTCGGAAACCCGCAAAAGAAACCCATGCATGTATTTACGTTAATTAATATTTCATTCGATTAATTCTTGAACTGGAAAATAAGGTTAATTCGATTATTTCTTAAATCCAAAGTTTTAATTTAACGTTAGGTATTATTCTAGAAAACAATGGAACAAAGGATAAGAAAAACAAAATAAAATTTTGTAAACCGTAAATAATCGTTTTATCGATGGATTTAGCCTGCTATATTGTTTTTCTCTTTTAAATGTATATTGAATAACATATATATATATATATATATATATATATATTGATCTAAGAAACCGTAAATTTGGATGAGAAAATTTCAACATCAAATGTCACTTCCTTTAGAAACTACTAAACGGTGTACATATGCATATATATATATACATACATATATATATGTGTGTGTGTGTGTATACTGACATATTAGAGTGGTCCTTGCATAATATGTCCATATCCATAATTTCAACGTCGGTATGATGAATAATAAGTTAGAAATATATGCAAGCAGGGTATGATTTCTTGCAGCCGATACAAAATCGAATGCTACGAAACCTTGTTTACAAAAATTATTCGGTTTATTTCAGAATATATTTGGATTTCAATTTTTATTAAAAAAAACATTTATCGATCTTTAAAAAGTTCGTTTTATTTATTTATTTCATTTAGTAATACATAACTTTTATTTGATAATTTAATTTTAAAAAATATATTCATCAAATCTTTTGAAATTAAATTATATTATACCATTTGGTTCAAAATACGTAACCTACCACAATACTGACAATAGCAACAAGTTACAAATTAAATTCGTTAATTGCATATTAGAAAACGAAAGATGACGTGGCACGTTAGAGAAGGAGACAAGTGGATGAAGAAAAGGTCCATTTTACATGGTCACATATTAGTTTAGGATATTTACGAAAATACCATTCGGCGCATCGAAGATCCATGTGGCATGGCATGTGATGTGATGCCGAAAGATTCTTTGGCTGTCACTCTAATTTTTTTTCTGAGAAAAAAACTTTAAACTCGTGCTATTAAATTAAAATAAAAAATAAATGTAAACAGAAGGCAAGTGCAGCCCACGCGCTTATGTCTGCTCTGTTAAAAAGGGAAGGAATATAATCCCAACGGAATCAGGCAATGATGAGATCCTGTTTCCAATTCCCCAATTTGTTTTTAAATTAATTTTCAATCCTTTTTTAGGTATTATTTTTTCTCTTTTAGTTGATAAAATAATATGTAACTCTTTGCAAGATTGTTCTAAACATATTTATTTGGGAATAATAAAAAATTCAGATGTTAAAAATTACGTATAGTTTGTGAATATCATTTTTCAGAAAAAGAGAAAAAATGGTGTGATAACAATTATGATAGGATTATTAGTTAAATTTTTCCTATGATCATCTTGAATATGATCACCTTATAAAGATATTTTTTATTTTATTTGTTAAAAGAATTATCATATTTCAATTTCACTTCATATATATCTTTTGCATTAATTTGTCATACATTCCGAATAGTTTTTCTTGGGTTATTATTTTTTATTTCTTAATATAATTTTTGAGGATGAAATTAAAGGAATTTCAAATATAGATATGGGTTATAATTTTTTATTTCTTAATATTTTGAGGATGAAATTAAAGAAATTTCAAATAATATATCTATAGAGAGAGAGAAAAATTAAATACTAGAGAATTTATGTGAATCCGGACAATTTTTTTTCTCTAACAAGGGATGTACCATGAAGAATTTTGCATGAGGTAAAACATATGTCCTCTTTCTAGATAAATTCTAAGATGTACAACAACAAGGATGTAATAATTAATTAGACTACAATGAAATAGTGACAAATTTGGCGTGTGGTAAATAAATTTTAAAGTGCATAGTAATTAAAGTACAAGAAGATGACAAATCTTAAATGTGGTAAATATGTATATTTTCTACTAAATAAATTATTGTGTTTACTACAAGTGAAGATATTCAATCTTAGTTTAATGCTCATATATTCTTTTTTGGTGTATGCATTTTAATGCTGTATCATAAGTTTAATGCGTGATGTAATGAAAATATTTAAGTATTTATAGAAAATATGAATTTTGAAAAATGTAAAACAAAATAATGCATCTTTAAAATGTGTAGAATTTAATTATTTGTCTTGATTAGCTTTATTTTAAATTTATAAAAAAATATAATTTTTAAATTTTATTTTGGTACTGATATTCCTAAAACAAATATTTAGTTTTAAAAATAATTTTCATTTGAATTTGAATTTTTCTTATTTTAATGTTTAATATTATATTTAAGTTCACTTGAATTATTTTTAAAAAATCGTACTTTATTTTGTTTTGGTGATTTTTTATACTCAAACATTAATATATTATCTATTATATTCATTATAAAGTTTTCATTTTTACATAAATTCCCAGAAATTTGAGAACTTTTTTTCACTTATCTTATAAAGGTACAGGTAACAGCACGATTAAAAGAAAATCGATACGAACCCGGTTCTTTTCCTGTTGAGATACATGTAATTTGACCTTCATACTAGGAAAAAAAAATCTTTTTTTAGGCATGTGTCATTTGTGGACCCTATGAATTTTCCAGGCATAAGATAATGTGTGATTGAACAAAAAAAATCAGAGGAATTTGTCAAAAAAGAAATATGAGAGAGAGAAAGAGATGGTCATGTAATGTGTAGTGTGGTGTTAGAACGAAAGCTTCGACAAAGTACACCCACCAACTTTATTTCGCCCATTGCTCATTCTCTTTTTACCCAAAACTTATAAAATCTCTTTCTTATATAAGAGAGAGAGAACCTTTACAAACTTTTACAAGTGAATATTTTTTGTGTGTGTGTGTGTATATATATATATAAAATTTCGGAGATATTATTATGGTAAACAAAGGTTGTGGGAGAACGAAACAAATTTCATAAACATCCAAAAGGTAAGGGTGAAAACAAGAAATACCTTTCCGAATTTTGTTCGGTGGAAGAAAAAAAACCCCGATTCGTGAAATGGCCCCTTGTTTGGGATAATGTTGGTAGAAACAAAAAGATGGAAACCTTTACTGACCAAATTGATTTTGTGTACACAAAAACGAAAACAGAGAATTCATAAGAAACCCACGTAGTGATACAAATCTAGAAAGAAAAAATCTTCCTTGAAAGTTTTCAGGTTGAGAAAATTATCAAAATTACTTGCACGATTGCAAAATTGCATATGTACTAAAGAAACCCAGAACAAAAAATTTGAGATTTTGTTAAGCTGAGAAATTGCAGAAAGGCAGCTTCTGTTCTTTTGTTCGTACTTTTCGGTTTTGTACAGAGAGAGAGAGAGAATAGACGTGAAGAAAGGAAAGAACCTCTCGATTCTGTGACAAACTCACGGTACTACAACGCGTAACATTAGCATCTCTGTTTCTTCTTCTTTCTTCGTCTTCTATGGCTTCAAATGAACCCACTGGTACCGACCTTCAAGCGGCGTGTCCTTGACAACGTCGTAGTTGTACCTGCAACATTCGGCGTACGTTAGTTTGTCCGTTAGGATTCCATAGCTATATGGTCAAGCACGCGCGGGATAACATCTTAATCTGTGCACCCCCTTTTCCCTGTATGGGGGGAGAGAGACTCACTTCTCTGCAAATCGCTTCTGCTCGTACTTCTCTGCTCCGGAGAAGAACTCCTCAAGCTCAGCCTCTGTCGGACTCTTGCTTGCCGCCGGTGGTTTTCTTCGGTCACGCGTCGCCGTCGCCGTAGACCTGGAATCCATTTCCGCCGCTTCTCCCGAAAACTCCCTCGCCGGAACCCTCTCCTCTCTGCGAAACACCCGAAGCCCAAAAATAGTGAGAGAGAGACACAGAGATCAGAACGTCAGAAGCAGGAGGAAACGTTTAGGAAAATGTCTGAAAGTGGGAAAAAAATTCGAACCTGAAATTGTTGGTGATGCACGTTGAGATTTCGGTTTCTGAAATTTGAGGAGCCTGAGGAAACGCAACAAATGAATTGAATGAGATATTTATATGTAAAACAAATTAATTATTCCTAAAAACCGTTTTAAAAATTTAATAGCGCATGGAATGGAATCTTTTGCAAAACTGTTCAGGTGAGAAAACAGAAAGGAAAACGAAGGAAAGTTTCCGAAACGCCACAATCTGATCGCTTGAGAAGATTTTAATGGAAAATCGAACGGATTTTCTCTGTAAACAAACAGGATAGAGTAATTCAAATTCTCACCTTCGGATCTACAAATTTCAGTTCATCCTTCGCGAGTTCGTTTGTCTCCCTGCTAGAACAGCCGGAGCAGACGCTCGAGCTCTGATCATCGTTTTCTCCGGCGGAGGAGGCGGAACACCCGCCGGAAGATGAGTCGGAATAGGCCGGTGGAAAAACCTTGGTCACCTGTGACGATGACCCGTAGACGCCGTGGGAGTCGACTGAGTCAGTACCGAGTCTCATCCTTTTCAGAGACCTGAAGCTTGTGCTCGAAGCTTCGCACTCTGCGTCTTCTGCGTCTCTTTTCTTGCAATTCGCTTTTCTCTCGCCCATCTCTCTTTCTCTCTGAAGGTTGAGCTCTATTTTCTCTCTGCTTTGAAAATATATTGGAGAATTTCAAGTGAGGGAGAAGACGAATCTTTAGCCGTTGATTAATTCAACGGACGAGATTCGATTTGAGTTCCTTGGCAAACGGACGGTCGTTATGGTTATATTGATGTGCGTGGTCCAAGTGCCGTTGGAGAGGTGACGGAGAAAGTAACGGCGTCGTTACGGAGTCTAGACGCCGTCGGGATTCGAACAGCGCGTCTTTTCTGCCGTTTTGGCTTTCCTTTGAAGCAATTACAACGAAAAATAACTTTATTTTATTTATATTTAATTTTATGGAAAGCGCCCCCAATTGTTAGGATTATATTAATTATATTGGATTTGTGCACAGACATTCTTAGTTACAAACGAACTCTATTTGGTCATCATTATAATTATTTAATGATGGCATTGGATCACGATTATTATAATTGAAGTAATACAATGATTAATAATAATTATATCCATATAGACACAATTCCCTTCAATTGTTAATCACATCAACGTTGAGATTTGATTTTATAAATTGGTCATTATAATTTACGTACAACAAATCTAGAAATGGGTCACCGTCTCTCTCTCTCCCTAGTGAATCCTAAATAAGATTAGAATTACATATCTCTATTAAAATTGTGTGTCTCGAAAAATACCGTCTAAATAAGTGTGGGTACATGAAATTTCGTTTCATTTTCTATTCGATGGGATTTCATGTTTTCTATTTTTGGATATATATATATATATATATATATTCATTAATTCTCGTTCAAAAGAATTATATATATATATATATATATAACTTTTTATTAACAAATTTACCAATAAAAACGTTTGATTAACAAAATTATTTCTTAAGTATTTTCATTATCAATTTCATTTTTAACATATTTGATATCTTGATTGAAGTTGAACATATTTTCATGTTTGATTACATTTTCGCTTCCGTCTACTGATCTCATATTTAATATTATTTCATTTTAAATTCAATTTAAATTTGATTTTTTTCTTTAATTTTTCGTTTCAAAAGAAATATATACATTCCATTAATTTTTACTAACAAAAGATCAATTTTACACGAATTAGAGTATAATTTTTAATGAAAATATATACACTCAAAATTTTAATTAAAAAAATGATTTTTTACAAATTAATAAGTGATATCTAAATTAAAAGATTATATATTCCATACAGATTAAAATACGCTTTTTTAATTTTATTAATACATATACTAACATTTCAAACTTCTAACTAATTTAATTAGCCATATTTTTAGAAACTTCAAAATTAGTTGGTGCATATATGTATCTGTAAAAAAATTTCTCTCTTTTTTATTTTGATAATTAATATTTTTAGATGAATATATTATTATTTCTAATCTTTTTATAACTTATTTGATTTTGTATTAATAAATTAATATTTAAAAAATTTGCGTATATTCATTTTCTATGTTTACATATAAAAAATAATTGATTCGAAACAGATTTTATTCTCTATTCATAATCTAATACAAAAACTTAATATCAACTACGCTTTGTACCAATATAAAACTAAAAACTTGCAATAAAACAAACCAAAATAAATAAATTAAATTCTAACTTTTTTATTTCTATATATAATCAAATAAATCTAACCAATTTTTGTATTCTAAACCAATTGAAATCTATTAAATTTTCTTGTGATAGAGAATCGATTAAGAGATATTTAGAATTATTTTTAGTTTATAGAGTAATTAAAACTCTTGATTTTATAAAAGACAACTAAGAAAATATGTATGAAGATATATGTTAACATAAGTTATTATCTTTCAATTATTTATTTTATTAAATTATGTTATGGTAATAATAGGAAAATATTTTTCTATTATTGATAATTGCAATATTACACCCTAATATGTAGCAAAATAAAATAGATCGAATATATTAAATATAATATTTAGGATAAATCATAACCATATTAATGATAATATTCTAGAAACAATATTTTCTTATATGCCCCTCAAGATGAATTATCTATGGTGAATTCAATCTTGTTAAATAAAAACTGAAATTTGAAATTGTGATCATATTAAACGAAACATCTTTCACGTGATGTTGTGGCATGGACTTGAGTTGGTATTATACGCTTGATAATGTTTGAAGAGCTTGAGAATTGTAGTCTTAAGGCTGATATGATACGAAAGTGCGATGTGTATACTTGAATTGGATCGCACGACAATGAGGTCGGTGACGTAAAAGGCGCGGTGGTTTAACGACTATGCCGGAAAACAAAAAAAAAGTGCAAATAGTGGATCAATTATTGTAGTTTTCCAATCGAAAGAGATATAAACCATATTCAAAGAGTCTCACAACGGTTAGGGTTGACGTCAAGAAACAAACGTCGTCGAAAAAAAAATAGCATATTGGTTAGGGTTGACGGTGATGAACACCGCCGTCGAAAAAAAAGACTAGAAAAAAAGAACAAAAAGAATGAAAGAAGATACTCGAGGCGATGGTACTATTAGATTTAGTGTATCATCGTTGCTTTCAGACTCAATCAACATTGTTGATGAGAAAAAAATCTTAAACAACAACCAAGTTCTGATACCATAATAGGAAAATATTTTTCTATTATCGATAATTGCAAGATTACATCCTAATATATATCAAAATACGATAGAATATTCTAAGTATAATATTTAGGGTAAATCATAACCATATTATAATAATATTATAGGAATAATATCTTCCTATAGGTAATTGGAATAAATTATATCTGTGACATTCCAAGTAAGGTTGAGAGTGGAAAGTGATCGCCGTTACAAGTGACACAAACAATGAGAGACTCCTCAAGTACAATAAGACCAAAGAGATACATAAATAAATCGAACACACTGTAATGATAGAGATCTGAAGGTTGCATAGGTATTGAACTTCACAGTTAAAGATAACTTAAAAAGAACTGATTGATCTATTCATAACAATAAGATGCATCTACCTTTTTGATTGGTTATTTCAGAAAAATTCTAAAATTAAACGTACTCGGTCTAGACCAATATAAGGATGGATGATCTATTAGAAAATGTTTCTTATTATGTATGGGAGTGAACATAAAACACACTAAAGATGTCGTGTTGATGTGTGAAGGCAATCGGTTTCGGGGCATTACAATATCAGATAATTTTTTTTTAAAAAAGCTAATATAAGTGAATACTAATGATTTTATATTAACCATTTAATTGATATAAAAAAAGATGAATTAGTTAGAATCATCTTTGATAGATCTGCAAAAAGCTGAATTTAGGTTTTGTGTAATTTATGGAGTTTGATAGTTGTGGACTGTCTTCGCCATAATTTCATTTAGTATATAATTTTTCATTAGATTTAACAAACAAATAGTTTCTATAAATAGTATGAACTAGCAACTTGAACCGATTGCTTAAATGAATAGGGGTGGATGTCGGATTGTGACAAATGAGGTAAGATTGAAATAAATGCAAAAGACATGTGGTCTAAATGAAACAATAAAAAGAATATTTAGTGTGATATATATATATATATATATATATATATATATGTATATATGTGTGTGTCTGCGTAGAAGAGTAGACTGTTAGTTGGGGTTTTCGGTTGAGCTCTGAGCTTGTCCCAATAATTTAAACCCTTTTATGGCACAATTCAATGATTTCTGCTATATATATATATAATCATAATATAAATCTTTTTAAAACAAAAAATTAACATAATTAATAATTCAATTTATATTTTAAATATTTAATTTTTCTGACCATAATTTTTCTTTTTACAAATTTTAGAGTTTTGGAAAATAAATTTTTTCATTCTTTTCTTGTTAGATAAAACTTATTGTATTTATTAAATTCTCAATGTTGGATGGCACTATGCCTTATAACATTAATTACCTAATAGAGCCCACATGTTATTTCTTTTGGACCGCCAAATCATATTCCGTGGAGAAGTAGTAGAAAAGACAAATAGACATTTCCAACGATAAGATAAAAAGCATGTTACAATTTACAGTAACAAATATTGAAGAAAAATCAATTTTCTCTATTTTTGTATCTCAAATTTTTACTTATTTTAACACCAAAAAATTAAAAAAATTATATTTAATACTTGGACTTTTCATTTCAACAAAGAGCATCAATGCCATAATTCGAAAACCACATGCTGCACACATCAAATGTTAGAGATGAATAAAGTTATCAGATTTTCGAATACTCAAAATCTGTATATTCCAATTTCGAATTTTAAACCATAAAAATACGAAGTTATCTAATTAAATTTCACACATTCTTAAATTCGGGTATACTCCATCTATTCGTCTCTACTTCATCGGTTTAAACCTATCAAAAATCAAAAATAAATTTGGCATTTATATTGGTACGTTAGAAGAAACATATTTTGATGATAAATCCAACCAACATCACCCAAGCTTCAATATTCTTTTATTCAAAATGAAGCTATCAATGAGCTTAAAAGTTTTTCATTAGGCTCTCTCGCTGTAACAATCATCAACATCATCACTGAAACCTCTTTTGTAATGTTTCACGATTATCCAATAGATTTAAATAGCACGTAAAAATAAAATATTTATTCCTTAATATCTCTATTATTCACCTAAACTTGGTTAGTTAAACTGATAAAATTTGGATAGTTTTTCCGTTTAGAGTTCAAACCTCAAATTTGAAAAGAAAAATATATTCCAATCTTAGAAATCTGGAGGAAATCAACGGAAAAATGAGAATGAAATCGAACCGAGGGACCGGATATCTCTTCAAGGCGTGTAGACACTTTCCTAAAACCGTTATTCCGTCCGTTATGAGCAAGGACTACCGGAATACGATTCTGAGATACAATGAAGAGAAATACGTTCTAGAATTGCTCGTTCAAGAACGCACAGACAAGGAAACGTGAAGAAGAAGATGAACGAAAGCTTTCGGGAGAGTTTTTGCAAGAAACTTCCGAAAGTGCTCTCAAAATCTCTCAAAAATGGAATCAA